TTTTTTTTTTTTTTTTTTTTGAAATAATTGCACACAGCAAATTAATGCTCGTGATTTTCTAGTGGTCATAAGCTGGATTATCTTGTAATAATTGCTGTGCTACGTCCAACTTCCACGGATCCAATTTTAATTTAAATAGTAAGTTGGTTTTTCACATTTCATTATAATTGTAAAAATCATCTCCAACTTGCGTAAAAAATTGCGTCATTTGTCATTTGATTCTCACGAAAACATGCTTGATTTCAAATTCTTGAGTGCCAACCTAAGTTCGGAAGCAAATTCAACTTCGAAATATATTAGTTGACATCTTCTAGTGTTGCAAGAATGTGTCGCATGCGATATCGTATTAAATTTAATTTTATGTATCTCAGGCAAGAAGAACACAATAAATAATCTCTACCATTAGGTATCATTTTCTAATCCTGATTTTTAATTAGATAGAATTAGTTGTTTTTTTTACCTAAGCACATTAAATAGATGATTAAAAGAGATAAATTCACTTTCTCAAGTCAACTTAAGTTTACCTAACTTAACAACCCAACGTTTTCCCCTTTATAAAAAATAATCAGTTTTTCTCTTGACATTCTTGAACATTAAAATTAACGAAATTATTTTTGTGACAATATTAATATTTTTGTAATTTAATAATGAATAGAGCCAGCTCAACCATTAGACGAGTTAGGTTTTTGTCTAAGACCCCCGATTTATAATACCCAATTCTAGTATTTACACATTTTTACTTTTGTGTTTCTCATGAAAATTTTTGTTGATAAATAACAATACTAAAAATTATTTAAGGTAAAACATAAATAATTTAATAGATTTAATTGAAAAAAGAAAATCCTTCAATAATTAAATTAATAAATCTATATAATTAAATACTAACCGTAAATTCTATCACAAACAATATAAAAGTTGAAATGATTGTACCTATGATCGACAACATCTCCGATGACATAGTCGTCAATAATCATTTATGAAGGTGTGTGTATGATTGTCATTTCTTAGTTGATAATTCCATTTGAATCATCAATATATGTAACTTTTAATCAAATTTATCAATAATTATACTATCGACGATGATAGATGGCTTCTTATCAGTGACGAAGAGTCATTGGTGATTCTCGACAACATTACAAATGATAATTCCATCAGGATCACCAACATACATTACTTTTAAATAGAATTATCGATAATTATACCATCAACGATGACAT